TGCATTGACAAGAGTGAATAAATTTATTGTTCAATCTATGTTTAATCCATGAGTAACAGTTAAATTTATCAGGTCCTATCAATGAAACTTTCTGGGATACTATAGACACAGATGACTTTATCCAAGGTTTATTCAAAATAATATGCATGTATGCTACTTTGAAGATTTTAATGAACAAATAAAATCTGTAAAATAACTGTAATAAGAATAAATAAAGTTTTTGACGAAATATTTCAATTTGTTGTTCCTTACGATAAAAAAATATTGTCTACAAGAAAATAATTCATTTTCTTTCACATTTTATAAATCCATCACGTTTACTGTACAATGTCTATCATTACAGAATAAACTTTATAACCAAAACAAGCTGTATGTTCACTATACTTTAACTCTGACACTAAAGAATGGATTTGTTATGTCTCTGAACTTAACAGTCAGTAAAACCAATTTATCTATTCTTGCACTTTGCATCACAATACAGAAAGCTAAATGTACATATATTAGCTTCTCAATATTTGATGATACATTAGGAAATTATTGTTTGTTTCTAAGCTACTACCTTCTGTTTTCGATCTAAAAATCACATATTTGTCGTTTTAATATAACTTTACAAATATAACTCACCAAGATCTATACATGGTCTACCTTTTTGAAGGTGTAATTCTTTAGACATTCAAAGAAATAACATTATCGTCCATTTAAGAATTTGGGCTGTGTTCTTTAAGTTTATCTAGGAGGCAAATTCCTCTGACAAGCTAACAACTCAATCACCTTTGATATTTACAAATAACACAGACTGAAATATGTATGGATTATAAAATAGTGGATTGAGAAGATTAAATTACCTTTCATATAAGTCTGGTACATATCAGTTAGTCTACAATTCTTATATACTTTCTACTTTTTTAAGTAAGTAGATATAATAAATATTAAAAGCTAATCCAGTATTTCATCAGCTAAGACGTTTACATAAATAGAAAGTATACTAAAACTTTACGCTAACTGAAATGTAAATGTCCCACCAATTATTGAGAAATAGAATATCGTGAATATGCATTTAGTGTTTTGTATCACTATGCAGAATGAAAGAGCCAATGAACTATGTTTACTGACTTTTAAATTCAGTGACTTACAAAATCTGTCATGTCCCACTAAACATGCTCGCCTGGGGGCGTTAAAATGTGACGATCAATCCCACTATTCGTTGGTAAAAGGGTAGCCCAAGAGTTGGCGGTGGGTGGTGATGACTAGCTGCCTTCCCTCTAGTCTTACACTGCTAAATTAGGGACGGCAAGAGCAGATAGCCCTCGTGTAGCTTTGCGCGAAATTAAAAAAAAAACAACAAAAAACAATACAATATAAAAGCTGATCATGTCTGGTTAACTTAAAGTATTTGTGAACATTAAATTTATAATCTAATATTTTTGAATTTGTGTAGAAAATATATGATTACATAGAGTTTGAACAATATATTTTCAAAATTAAGTATGGGATTATATCTTGATAATGAATGTATAATCATAAATAGCGACTTACACTGTGTTTTATAATTGACTTGTTCAACTTTTTGTTTTCATAAAGTTTTCTTTTCTGCCATACTGAACTTTGAATTCTATCTGCTTCTCTCTTCTTAATAAAAGGTCAACATGCTATCAGCTGTGAATCATAAGGGTGAAGTGTCCACACCATTTGGTGATTGAATTTGTTGACCTTTCTATCATTTTATGTTATATATCTCAGTTAGAAGAGAAAAAAATACCTATATGTAGTTGTTCAACTCACAATCAAGATACTACATACAAAAGGTAAGATTTTATACAATAGTAATATTTTGAACTTTAGTGATCAACTTAAAGCTAAGCATGAGATTTAAATAAACTTCTTTTTTCAGGATGTTTTACTTATAAAGTAAAACTGTAAACACAAGTTTATGAAAGTAGCTTAAGTTATTAATTTTAAAACTTTTTTACTATAAAGTTATTTTTGTTGCGTCAGCGAGGTCACGTGACTAGTATCATGCCACATCTTTCTCGAACCTTCGTGAATTGTCGGGAGATTACTAGATTGGGGTAGTGTGGTATATATAAGATGGTCACAACGTGACGGGACAATGTGTAGTTAATGAGTAATTGAATGTATGCGGACAAAATATTGTTGGCCACGTGAGACGTGAATTATAGTGTTGTTACAGAGCGACTGTTGAAATTAAGTGTATCGTAAAGTTGTATTCGGAAAGAATAAATCAGTTTTATTTAAGAAAGGACTTGTGTCTCTAAAGTTTCGTCGGAACGAATTTACGGAAAATTAACTAACGACTGGAGGTGAAACAAATTGGTGTCAGAGAGTGGGACGAAAAAAAAAGAAATGGAAACGAGAAGCGGCAAATCAAACTACAGCTTAGCAGACTTGATGGCAGCAATACAAGAGCAAGAAAAGAAACAAGAAGAGAGACAACAGCAGTTGCAAGAAAACCTGCAACAGTGGCAGCTAACCAACAAAATAAACAAGAAGAGAGATTACAACAGTTGTTGGAGAAAAAAGAAAAGAAACAAGAAGAGAAATTACAGCACTTGTTGGAGGAAAAAGAAAAGAAACAAGAATAACGAGAAAAGAAACAAGAAGAAAGATTACAGCAGTTCTCTCTTGTTTATTTTGCTGTTCGAGCTGCCATTGTTGTAGGTTTTCTTGCCTTTACAGCAGTTGTTGGAGGAAAAAGAAAAGAAACAAGAAAAAGATTACAGCAGTGGCAAGAAAACCTACAACAATGGCAGCTCGAACAGCAAAATAAACAAGAGAGATTACAGCAGTTGTTAGAGGAGAAAGAAAGTAAACAAGAAGAGAAATTACAGCAGTGGTTGGAGG